AGAAAGAAAGAAAGAAAGAAAGAAAGAAAGAAAGAAAGAAAAGAGTCAACGTTTTAAAGAAGAAATTCTAGAGCACCGTGCCCAGACAGCTGAAGGCATGACCGATGGTAGAATGATGGAAAATTTGAATGGCTTGCATGTCCTCAGGCCACCCAACGTGATTCATTACTAATTATGTACTTCTGAGGTCGAGTCGCTATTCTAACATACAAAACAAAGTGGCCAATTTTCGCACAACAAAATCCCAAAAATATCAATATAATAATGATCAGATAATCCATTTTTGTAGTGTTTATTAAGGTGTAAATATTGATCATGACATCAGGAAAATTCCTCTACCCCTGTTCAAAACAGTAACCATAGGATCATTTACATACACCTGTAAGTGTCAACATTTCATCTGTAAGACGGTAATGATTAGCGATATCATCACGGAATTAACATTGACCAATCAATAACATGCTAGAATAATTTTGCAAAAGCTTTTCATTATGCATCCGTCAGGACAAATGCAAGAATGCCAAATTTAAACAACCACAATAATTTATGCACAGTTCTGAGGAAGGGTCACCGGACCCGAAACGTTAACTCTGTTTTTTCCTTCACAGATGCTGCCAGACCTGCTGGGCTTTTCCAGCAACTTTGTTTTTGTTCCTGATTTACAGCATCCGCAGTTCTTTCAGTTTTTAATTTACAATAATTTATGCAGCAGGTGAAAGGGATACAGCTTGATGGAAAAGTCAACTGACCAAGGAGTTGCATGACCCAAGCCTGTGCTCACTATTATTATATGCATGACTCTGCTATGGTAAGCCATAACCATGTTCAAGCATTGCACCTTTTTTGTCTCACTTGGGAGCTTGGACTGCCTGTCAGTTCTCCATCACTTCCTGAATGGCAATGATCAGCCAGCCAACTACTCAGCACCTTTACTCCCTCAATATAAACTACTGTGTACATTTGAAATTTGGCATTTTTTCTGTTTGTCTGGATGAATGTGAGACAAAAGACTTCAGCAACATATCTCACTTTTCAGTGATATTCAAGCGCTGTTTTATCAAGCAACTGCTTATAGTAGTATACTCCCTTCAATTGTATATTATCATTGACAAAACAGTGTTAATATATTTGTTGGCAGGATTAATCAAAATAGCTATTTTAGTAAATCATGGTACGCTTCATAAACCAGTAAACTTCATTTATATGGCTTGTAAAATAATTGAACAGCTACTGTGCAAAAGAGATCAGCAGGAAGGAAGCAGATCTTTGCTATTTACACTGTTCCACCATTTCCATTAACCTCTACTAACCTATGGATAATTTCACAGCATCCTGCAATTGTTTAAATAAGACTTTCACTGTTTCTGACTCCACTGCAAAACATGAAAAGATAAAAGAAGCACTTCTCACATCTTACCTTTTCTGCGAGCCAGCCTATGTGGCGAATCTCTCGACTCCCAGCTATCCCTGTTCTTCCCAGTTGATCTTTGACTTCTGCGATGACCTTGCTGGTCAGGTTACTGGTATTAGATTGAATGGTGTTGAACCAGGCTTGGGCTGTGCTGGGATCTTTACACCTCAGGACTACGGTGTATTTGCAATCAGGAGAATGCAGTTCAAATTGTCTGAAGGAAACAGCATTAAAACAAAGAAGCTTGATTATCATTTATTGTCATTTAAGAACATTTACTTCGTTGTTTAAATCAATTAAAAAATGTGACAACGGTAAGTTCAAAATCATTGTGTTCCTGTTAGACTAAAAGTTAAGGCTGGTAGGATTAGGGAACAATGGATGAATGAGGATATTGAGGCTCTGGTCAAGAATAAAAAGGAATCATATTTTAGAAATAGACAACTGGAGTCAAATGAATCCTTTGAACAGTATAAAGGGTGTAGGGGCATTCTTGAGAGAGAAATCATGAAGGCAAAGAGGGGATATGAGATAGCCTTGGCAGATAAGGTTAACGATAATTCAAAGAGATTCTATAAGTACTTTAGGAGCAAGACAGCAACTAGAGAGAGTGTTGGGCCGCTTAAAGATGAAAGGGGTTGTCTTTGTGCTGTACCTCAGGAGATGGGAGAGGTATTAAATGAATATTTCATGTCAGTTTTTACCGTGGAGAAAGAAATGGAGGCCAAGAACCTCAAAGCTGAACTGTTGACTAAATCCAAGGACCTGGGCCTATCCTATCTATGTATGTATGTGTGTATATTGGGATTAAGGGGATATAGTTCAATTTCCCATTGCAGCTTAGTCGATAATCAGTTTTGCCACTTGTGTAAAGAATACATTTGGTGGAATAAACAAGGTATTTTGACTTTATTGAAGAAATGTGGTGAAAGTCTATTACTGTTCTCTAGAACAGAATAAAGAGAAACAAATTGACCATCTTGATGGTAAAATAAGACATTTAGACTTTTGTTATGCTCATGAAGTCTGATTTCTGTTGAACTCCTCCTGCCTGAATCATCACACTATATAATCTTTGTCCCATATCTTTTAACAAATTTAGTTAATATAGGTATATCAATCACAAGATTTAAAAGGGATGATTGATACGGCACCATTGTTGTTGTGGAAGGTAGTTCCACAATCATTAAGGGGATTTTTTTTTACCTTGATCAAGACTGGATATTGCCTTTTACTTTAAACATTTATTCATAGGATGTGGACAATATTGGCTGAGCTAGTATTTATTTCCCATCCCGAATAACCCTCAAGAAGTTGGGTGGTGGGCTGCCTTCTTGAACCATTGCAGTCCATGTGAGGTACGGACACCCATCATGCTGTTCGGAAGGGATTTCCAGGGCTTTGACACAGCGCGACCTGTGAATGGCGATATATTTCCAAGTTAGAATGCTGAGACAGTTGAAAGGTAATTTACAAGTGATGTTCCAGTGTTTTTAATGCTCTTGTCCTTCTAGGTAGTAAACGTTGCAGGTTTGGGAGGTGATTTTAGGGACCCTGTCCATAAGCTGTGTTCTGCACTCTACCAGATGTACTGGTTAGTTGCAAAAGCTCACAAACAAAAGGACTTACCAATGCACGATAGTCAACGGAAGGCCTCTGTAGAGTAAGAGAAGTCAAGGGAGAAAGGGAAGGTGAAGTGCATGATTAGAGTTAGGGAATTTTCACATGGATTGTACCATTTCCAGGTTCTGGAGTCTCTTTTGGACGAGACATTAAAGTGGGACCCTGTCTGCCCTCTGAGGTGGATGGAAAAGATCTCCTAGCACTGTTGCAGGGGAGCTTTCACCAGTTTCCAGACCAATAATTATCCTGCAATCAAATTCACAAAAAACAGATGATTTGATCTTCATCATAATGCTGCTTATGGGAATTTGCTGTAAGCAAAACAGCTGTTGATTTTCCTATATTACAACATCGAATACTCTTCTAAAGTACTTCAGGACATCTTGAAATTACAAAAGTCAACTCAAAAACACAAGTTCCTTCTTCCCCGGTATGGTGTTTCTTAGCCAGCCTCTTGGTTTGTCAGTACTGCACTGGGTGTGACAGTTTAGACTTTCAGTGCAAGTCTTTAGAATGGGATTTGAAGAGGTAACCTTCTGACTCAGAGGAGTGTGCGTTACCCAAGGAGCCACAGCTAAAAGCCATCGGGGCAGTACTGAATAGACAGCGTCTTATATTAAGTGTTCAAAACTCTCTGATCCTATTGTACATTGCAAAACCCGTCTAAAATGAAATTGGTGGCAGTTCAAAGTCAAACTGAAACAACAGAAATGAAAACTGACAGCTAAAGGGCATGGAAAAAAATATTGCAACATGATTCATAGGTGGGTACAAGTAAGAAAGTACTTGCTCTGTTGCAAAAGTCTCGTGCATTGTGTTAATGATACTTCTCAAAAGACCAAACCTATAATATTGACATCATGTGCAATCTTGAAATCCTGGACTGGATCCACATTGTTCCAGGCAAATCCCAGCTTCCTGGGTGCAACTGAAGAAGCGAACATAAGTGGACACAGATTAAGCTGCACTGTTATGTTGTAAAACTCAAACTATGCTGTAATAAAAAAAAATGCTAGAAATGATCAACAAAAGCTGACCGGGAAGGAACAGAGTTTGTTTCAGATCGATGACCTTTCGTTAGATGCGACGATAACTAATTGACTTAAACAGTAATTTTCTCCCTGTTGATGTTGTCTGACCTGCTGAGTATATGCAGGACTATTTGTAGGTTAAGTCAGAACATTTCTCTTAGGGCAGTTTCTATCTTCTTATAATGTGTTGATAAACAGCATACACTAGATGAATGGAACATCACATTTTCTTTCTAAACACACCACATTGTGCTTCCATGCCAGTTGATCCATGGGTTTGCTTCAATGCCCTCAATGCTGCTGTATCACCATGACCATGTCACTCCCATTTTATTGTGGACTGAATTTTCCACCATCCGATATTACTCTCAAGGCCTCTTCCAGAATCAGTTCTAAGTCTTGGTGTCCTGATTCCTTGCTCTCTATGATCCCATTCACAGCATTCCCAATAGTAATGCTGTTGTTCTTTTCAACTCGTTCCTTGTCCAGGCTCTCACTGCAAAATGTCCTTTCTCTGTGATTTGTTCAATTTTGTTGATCTTGTGAATTGTTAATTTTGTTGTCACTTGAGTTAATTTTGTGTCATAAATTTGTGCTCAATGTTGTTTCAGTTGCAATTCCTGTTGTGTACAGCGTGGCAATTCATTTCTCTTTAGAGAGGGATCTCCTTAGAACATTGGATCCAAACCTTGATCCAATTAGTAGGTAGGCTATTAGGGAGTCTGGGGAGAGACGGGGATGGAGAGAGATGGGATGGGAAGAAAAAGAAATATTTGCATTTCTATAGCATTTTTCAGGATCAGAGGATGATGCAAAGTAGCCAACGAAGTATTTTCTGAAATTCTCACAGTTGTAATCTGGGAAATGCCACAACCAATTTAGCAAACAGCAAGATCCAACAAACAGCAACATGATGATAATAATCAGATAATCTAATGACAGTTTAAGAAAATAAATGCTGGACAGAACTCTCCTGCTCTTCCAAGTAGTGGCTGTGGGATCTAACATTCATCTGAGAGGGCAGGTGAGTCCTCCACAGATCCACAGGAAAGAAGTTACAACTTCTCGTTTCATGTCTGGTCTCTTTGTTCTTCTGCATTGATGGACCCAAGTCGTATCTCATTAAATTAAACCTAACTAAAGCACATTCTCAATTATATTACTATTCACATCAGCCAAAGTTTATTAATAGCCTCTTTAAAGATATTTGCAAGCTGCACTGTTCTGTCTGTGGTCCTGTCTGTTTGTAAATATAATGGTTAACGAAAAGAGAAATTGGGTCACCTGTTTTCAGGGTCTGGCGTACTGAAACTTCGCGTGACATAACACATCTTCAGCGGAATGCTCTTTGAATCTTTGGAGTCGCTTGGTAAGGAGAATGGAAGGGTTGCGTGAGATTCTATGGCCGCAGATCCGAGCCTAGGAGACTCTGGAGGGAGAGTTTCCCATCCAAGTTCTGAAACCGGAGAGGTCTTCCGGATGTAAGGTGTAGCTTCTCTCATGTACTTCACTAGAAAGGGGGAAAACAGATAGTATCTCGGTGAAGACAGGATATTTGATGACATTACAATTCCAATGCTGTTTTAGTTCCAAAAACCTTTTTCTTCCTAGAAACAAAAAGTCGCAACTACAATGAGCCTGGGATACAGCAGATTGTTCCCTTTTGAGATCCGCGCTGACATCTTTTCAGACAGCACAAACTCAACTGCTACCCTTCACTGTCAGTGATCAAACTCAGGAATTGGGATAGTCGATCAAATGCATTGTGCTCTTTCAAAATCACCCTGCGTTTGGAGTAAAGGAGGGGCGAGGACCAAGAGAGCTAGTCCCTGTTCCACTGGAATGACCTAGAGTTTGCTTAACAGAGAGGGACAGTATAAACCCGCACGATATTGCTGGGGAAGAAGCAGGGATGTGCAGTTTTTTGATTAGAACATCAGTTGTGTGCCTTTTAGTATCACACTCATCTCTAAATCAAAAGGCTATGGGTTTAAGTCCCACTCCAGAGACTTGAACACAAAGTTCCAAGCTGATAATCCCAATGTAGTGCTTAAGGAAGGCTGTCAAAAGTGGTAACTATGAGATGTTAATCTGAGGCCCCTTTAGTCCTTGACAGACCAAAGATTGCATAGTACTATTTCAAAGGCCAGAAGGGGAATAATATGTGGTGTTAATGTCAATAGTTATGCCTGAATTAATATAAATAAAAATACAGATGATCTGGTCATCATCATGTTCGTGGGAGCTTGTTGTATACAAATTGGCTACTGTATTTTCTATATTACAGCATTTCTAAAGTCAAACACTAGAAAGTCATGAAAAGGTACCACAGAAATGCAAGTCATGTTTCTATTTTTATTTCTATTGGCTATTTCACCAGGTTCACATGAAACATACATTTCAAAATAACAAAATTAAGTACCATCCTATCACACCAGGTCTCTAAAGCGTGCAACAAATCATTTTTGCATGCAGCTAACGCTGTGTAGAAAATGTTGGGAAATCCCCTAAAATTGCTCGAACTCCACCAGTGTAACTTGGCTAGACGTGCCATAACTTACTTTTATAGACAAATACAATTAGACTTCCAACAATGTTAGAATGTTTGAGGGTGGAGGGTGGATTGTGACAAATCCTGAGGAAATTAGTGGACATCTAAAAGCAGCTGACTGGGATTTTTATCAAACATATAGTGACACCAAGTTACGTGAGGGAGAATTGCATCAAGTGACTTGAGGCTTGGACAAAGAGGTAGGGTTAGAAGGAGCATCTTTAAAGGACGAAAATGACTTGGACAGGTTTAGGGAGAAAATTCCAGAGCTTACGCGCAGGAGTTTGAAGGCATAGCTGGCAATGGCAAAGTGATTAAATCTGGATAACAGTCAGAGTAAGTACATGGTTGCAGGCGCAGCTCAATAACCTTACAATGGAATATCTCTCACACACACTCACAAATACACACAAGGTTGAAGGAACACAGAGATCTTTGATGGTTATAGGGCACAGGAGGTTACAGAATGTGATGAAAAGATGGCAACAGTTATCATTGAACATAAAAAGATGTCTTGCAATGGGTTCCTGTGATTGTATTCCCATTATAATATATGATTGATGTCTTTCCAGTTTGTGCCTCATTAGTCGCAGGCTGATCAGTTTTGCTCACTGGTGTGTTTTAGTTATGGTTGAACTTTTGAAGTTGTGTGTAGAGCTAAGAGGAGATGGTTGAGACACTGTCAAAGCATAGCCTACACTGGATCATAGCTGTGAAACCTCTTCATGTGACAGTATGAGTTATAGCTGTGAGACAGCAGGAAATCGTATTCCCCACAAAGAAAATAATCTTCTTTCTTGTCTTGCAATTACCACATCTGAAGAGAAGGGAGATAAAAGTGCTGATCCATGTAGAATCATATTTTGAAAACCACCACATACTGTAATGCACACATACTAAAAGAGACACACCCAGCCACCCCCTGGGCACTCAGTGACAAATGGAAGGAAAGCTAGTTAACCCAAAATAAATTGTGGTACATACAGCCATTGATTTAGTTGGGATCAACTAATGAAGATGAAATGGAGATTTAACTTGGAAACTTCCCATGTCAACACCAGCATTATTTTCCAGATGAGTGACCAGGGAGCAAAATATGTTTAAATTTGCACTTCTTTAAGATGATCTAAAACCTTTGGTGTTCTGCAAAAAGTGATGTTCACAGAAAGCTGTCTGTGTGACCTTGGATTATTGTAATGTTCCAGATAATTTCAAAAGTCTCGCTTCAAAAATTCTGAATAATAGCTAAACTAATAAAATATTAGTACATTTCCACACTTTCTGTGGCTGTAGACAGGTTATGCAAGCAAGAGAGCTTTAAGATTTGACTTTTTAAACTATTTTATTCTATTCTGACCCTATTTGTTAGTGCACTCTTCAATTTGCATGCTGTAGTTATCATTATACAGCACTATTGTCTCTCTGTAACCTTCTAATTATTTCCCCAATTTAACCCTCTACCCGCACTATTTAGTTTGAAGCCCTTTCAACCCATCTTAGATATACAACTCGCCACAACACTGGTGCCTGCATTGGTGAAATGAAGCTCATCCCAATAATATAGTTCCCACTTTCTGCACTACTGGTTTCAGAGCCCCATGAGGAAAAACCAGTTTCTCCCACATCAATCTTTGATCCATTCAGCTCTATAATCTTATTTGCTCTACTCCAATTTGCTCAAAATTCGGGTAGTAATCCACAGATTATTAGCCTTGATATGTTGTTTTATAATTTAGTTCCTCATGTCTCATATTTCCTCAGCAGAACCTCCTTCTGTGTCGTACCTACGTCACTACCACTATGTGGGCCATGACAACTGGATCCTTCTGTTCCCACTTCAAGTTCCTTAAGAGATGGCCTTAACCCTGGCACCAGGCAGGCAACACAGCCCAGAGAATCACATTCCAAGCTGCAGAGAACAGTACCTATTCCCCTGACAAATACCACCCCCTGCTGCTAATGCATTCCTTTCGTGCTTCCACAACTGCACCACACATATCCCCCACCCCTCCAACCACCACCACCACCACCACCACCACCACCACATCATGGGGCTGGGTTGAGTTTGCTCATCCACCCCAGAGACTGTTTTGAGTGAGGTGCATTTACTGGCTGCCACCAACTGCATACGAAGCCACTTACAGTAGAGACAGAGGTCACATGAGTATGGCAAGACAGCAGTGCACGAAGTACAACTGCATTTCCCAGCTCTCTGCTCTCATCCACATCAACTGAATGGAGCCTGATCCTGTTGGACAATTGCCAGGTTCCTCCGTTGCTACCCTCTGGATGCTCTCACTTGTTATTACCAGCCTTCTGCCTCAGACTAAATCTGATGTGTCACTGTCTCCTGGCACAACGTCCCTTGGTACATTTCTCCCTCCCTGATGTATCGCAGTGTCTGAAGATCAGAATCCAGCTCCTCAACCCAGTTTCTTGAACTGCAGATATGGCTCCTATGAATTGCAATGGTGTCAACCAGGTTGGTATAGGATTGTTGCATATTGCACTGCAAGCAAATATACTGTAACCCCATGCTGCTTTGTTCAGTGTTACGTTTCCTGCAGAACATTTCAACAGGACAGAAAACAAAAAGTAAAATATTGTTCCTTCAAATCCATCAAGAAACAATCCTGCAGTGCTCAGCAAATTCACTTTCCCAAGGCAGATAAAGGCCCTGAGAAAATATATGACTAGCTGGCACTTGTAATCACTCATACCGTCTCTGTATTTACTTTCACTGTTTCCTCAAATGATTTTGAAAAGTCATTCCAAATGCTCTGATATATTACCAGCGAGAAGTTTACTGTGAAGGTCAGGGTGTGCCGAAGGGGAAAATAAAAGTCACAAGAAGTGCCAGGAGTGTTTGAGATTAGTAACAAATTGTGAAGAATGCTGATGTGAGTCAGATCAGAACAGACTGCTGGGGCGAGTGAAATCCTGTCACAATTTGGTGTCCACATATCACGGTGGGCCTGTGCACACAATCAGACATGCACATATGCAAAGGAAAGGATACTAATGCACATGCTTACACAGGCACTAATGCACACAAATCACAGAAGCCTGCAGACACACATTAGGTTCACATAAACATACATACAATTATGCATCAAATCACCCACATACATCGAATTACACAGGCCCACATACACAGTGAGGTACAGATGGAGGATACAGTTCCACGTTTGTATAGCACAGCAGTTTTAATGGAATGACTACCAGGACAGACTCATTGGACCAAGCTGATAGATTTGCAAAATGACTATTCCTAAAGTACAAAGTGAATTTTCTGCAGTTTCACCCAAAACCTGAGCTAGTTCCCTTTCACCCATGACTTTAGTCCTTGTTTCATTTCTCTATTTTATTTTCCTGGCTACACTATTTATTTCTCTGTCAGCTCCTATCATACGATCAAATGAGGCGAACTAAAAATTGGGGCTCAACAGTTCTACAGCATTAGGGAGGATTCGTCTGCCACTGAGCCAGAGAAATCAGAAAGTGTCTGATCTCAGTTTTGGAGACCACAAGTGTGGGAGAGTGCAATTCCATTCATTTCAAGAGGGAGAAAATGTCCCTCAGCCAGGCTTCCTGTTCAAAATTGCTACTTAATGTCTATAACTGGCAAAGGCAGAGGAGCTTTAGGTCCCTCTGCAATACAGATGCAGCAGAATTACCGATTGAAATTCACTCCACTTAAAAGAGGGAAAAGCAGTCACTTGAAGCTAATTTCATACAACAGGCTGGTTACTTTGTGCTGGATGGAGCTATTGTTGGAGCTGCACTCATTCAGACTAGTGGGGAGTATTCCATCGTACTCCTAACTTGTGCCTTGTAGATGGTAGACAGACCTTGGCGGGGTCAGGTGCTGAGTTAATCTCTGCATGATTTCTAGGCTCTGGCCTGTTCTTGTGGCCGCAATATTTTTATGGCTCGTCCAGGTGAGATTCTCTTTAACG